GATCACCATGGTTGATTGGATTGTGTTCATGACGATGCTGAACTAGAAAAAAAATACAATAAATATTAGTACTAAATTTTCTCTCTATCACAATCGAATAATGAATAAATTACAAGAAAAGTAATGGCGACTGATTTATTTTCAAAATGAATTGTTTAATACATTAAGAAAGTGTTTCAAGTAGCTATTAAGTTTACTAATCCTTCAATAAAAATCAGAAAAATTGATTTTTAAATCAATATATAGAACTTCAGAAATTTTGACAAATTAAAGATAAAATATGTTTACGAGAATACTGAATGATTTCATACATCATTACCTGATGTTGTTGTTGGAGGTCTTGAAATACATGATAGACAATGACATTGATGACCATGATGACTATGTTGATAATGAAGTTGATGTTGATGATTGAGTCTTTTTCGTCGTTGATGATGTTTAAAATGATAACGACCTGGTGGATCAACAGGCCACTCTCGAGTCTTGTTCCAATTTTTGTTTATGTTATTTTTAAATGTTGATGAACGATTAGTTGAATAAGAACCATAACGATTATTGAATCCTGTAACGAAAAGACAATATATCGAAGCAGTGAACACACAGATTTCTCACCAATCGACATTAATGGTATTGGATTTATTGGCGAAGATGATGCTAAAACTGGTGTACTATTATTCGATGTGTTGCTTGACGAAGATGGAAGTGGAGCTATTAATTGACTACTATTCATTCTAAAATACAAATTTAATAAGAATAAATATTTATAATTGTACATATATGGAAACAACAGTTGATCAACACATACTTATTCATCACCTTCGTATGATCCTTTCTCATCTTTGTTTGTTGATTCAGCATCGAATCATCTTCCGAATCATCAGACGTTGATGCTTCAATTGCAGAACGGAATTTGATCGGTGAACAAGCAACTTCACGTGTTGGTGAACAAGGAGGACTTGCACCAGTTCCTCTATCAGTCATTTCTCGATCAGTAGACATTATTGTCAACTAGAAGGAAATCCGATATTTGTAAGTTTTACGAACTAGATCATAAAAAACGATAAGTTAAACAAAATTATGACTTACCGTTCAAGAATTGTAAATTATTTCGTAAAGATCGATTCGTAGTAAATAATCTAAAAATAAAAATATTTCAAAATAATTAATCATCGAAAGATCAACAATTCCAAGATATTTCATCGTTTTATCGTCAACAGAAAGGTCTTTTCAACATATATGTTCTTTTTTTTTCGCGCGCCATGTGTAAGAGAGAACGAGACGATAAACAAGTCAGACCTTACTTGTTCAAATAAAACGATCGAATTTATCGGTTGGTATTATGAAATGAAAAACTAACCGATTCCTAATAATAAAATTAATAAATCCAGTAGAGAAATATTTATAGATTGTTCAAGAAATAAGAATTTATTTTTTCGAACAAAATCAACAATTTTCAAAGGAAATTGATCAGTTTTGTTCGATAGAGGATTGATGAAGAAAAACAAATTCTATCAAAATAAATATTTGGAAAAATTCTCATTTCGATTCAATTAAATCTCAAAATTAATTTGATCTGCAACGATTAACGCAACCTGAATTTAGACAGAAAAATATTCAAGTTATATTTCAATTCAACGATCTTTTTTTTCTTCTTATTATTACGTCTCTTTGATCCACGTGCATGTCTGAGACATATATGTCTCAGACATGCACGTGGA